TTTGGGGGGCCCGCACGCGGGTACCACGCGGGTTTTGGCGCCAATTTTGTGGATGGGGGCCCGTACCGGGGGCCCGTACGCGGGTACCACGCGGGTTTTGGCGCCAATTTTGGGGATGGGGGCTCGAACGTGCTCAGATTATGTCCCCAAAGTTTTTCAGCCCTGTAGCTTTTTTTCCAGTCTCGAGATGAAAAATCGGTACAGAGGCCCAGCGCACACACAGACACACACACACACACACACACACACAGACAACCTCTCGTCAATATGCGTTTTTCGCACTGCATTTCTGCAAAAAACGCATAAAAAGAGCCTTTTCGCTGAAGTGTTAGTGATTGTTTATAGAACGCGGCCCGTTCTTGTATTTTGGGGGCATCCGCAACTTCAGCAGAATTTACATTGCTCAAGCGCCCACTTAGCAGTTCTAGGAAAAAAACTGTGAAATTATTAATTGTTATTAGTCCTCCAAGCTTGTGCGATCCTCCAGCAGCTTGGCCTTTGTCCCGCTTACTAGCAGTTTGCTCTGTTGCTGCTTTAGCTGTGTAACCGTAGCCCATCTCATCCCTGTCATTGACATGTTGATAGCACAGATTTGAACAACTTTTGATGATTTTTTTAAAGTGCAACTCGAAAAGGGGTACGCGGGTTTTTTTATGTTTTTTTTTTGCTGTACAGCGCTATAGCACTGCTAAAATGAGCAAAAACACATACTGTTAAGTGGTCGTCCGTGTGTGTTTGTTTTCGGAAGCGAGTGAGCTTTGTCACCCACTTTCAACTTTGCAACCAGGGAGGTTGCAGGGCTGAAATTTAGGATCATATTCCTACCCCATGTGTCACCCTCGCGTTTTTAAATCTTCGTTCATGCGCGTCTAGATTTCGCGTACAGACCCCCGAAAAAATACGCGAGTTTCTTTAGCGAGGAGCGATTTCGTAAACCAGACAAGATAGAAAACTGAAACTTTGCAAGTGTGTTCTCTACTTAAGTGTAGTCTTAATTTTAGCTTCGAAGTGAAATTCCGTGCACGCAGACTTGACAAATACTCAGTTTTATCGCAAACTCAAAAGCGACAACGTCTTGCAAACTTCATAATTCTCTGCCGACTTCCTTCAAATTTGCATTTTTCAATGAGCGTGCATTCACTGGAAAAACTTCTGGGCTTTATGCAAATCATTGGCGACGCTCGCCGGGCAGGCCAGTGCGACCATGCGTTTTTGAAGTATTACGTGCTGTAATGAGGTCGCTCGGAAATCCAATAGCTAGAATTGATGCTCGAAGCTCGGGAAGTTAATTATTACACATCCTAATAAAATTTCAACTTTCCAGCTTTCCCAGTTCCCGAGTTAGCCATTTTCCCGCCAAAAATTACCATACTTGAGAACCACGCATA